TGATATTCTCTCAAAAGGCCCTGAAGGTGCAACGATGCCCATCAAATGGTTTGCTTATTCTCACCATGGTGGTGAGTGTTTATTGAGTTTTGTATTTTGGGTTTTACTTCCGACATAGTTGGGTGGCCACATCAGTTTTCTTAATAAAGTTGTTGCTATCAGATGTGTGGGGCCACAAGTCTTAGAATTCCCATCCAACTTGTGGTTTTCCAATTATATGAATGGCCCCAGACCAGAGAAGACTGAACTAGGGAAAGAGAATGACATCAATGTGATAGTCATATAGTTAACATAGGAATAAGCTTTGTGAGAAGTTAAAAAGATTTGGACTTCTACTACTGTAGCAAAAAAAGACCAAATTTGGAAAGAGGAAAGATTACTAGGGTTAGTGCAGAGGTCCCCATATTTTTGGGATGCTGAGCATATTTAGAATATGTCCAAGGGATTGTTACAAAATAGAGACCAATAGTGGTCAGTTGTAGCACTTCCCTTACCAGATGGGTGAGATTGCTTCAAATCACGGTCTGCACTGTACTAGATTCAAAAGGGCAAAACTACCTGGAGCACACACGAGTGTTCATAAAGCACTGATCAGGAATGCCTCAAAGCAACTGGGTCATGAGGAGAGGACATATTTTGTCCTTGTTCAGCAGAACACTACATTTTGAGAGCGCTGAGGGTAGTGGCGATGTTTGGTCATCAAACTAAGCCATGCTCTATTCTGTTCTGACTTGACCTATTAAGGATGCAGCCCATGCTACTTGGATTTGTGTTCCTCCTACAGATTTGAAGAAAATATAATGATTATGGCCAGGGAAGTGTCTGTCTGCCCACAAAGCATTTTCAGTCTCTAGCACAAACAGCATCAGCATTAATCATCTTCATGTGCAAGCCCATGGTACAAAACTAGGGCATTCATTGGTTGGCCCTGCTCCGGGCAGTTCTGTATTTAATTAGCTAAAGTGGTAAGATGTGTGAGAAATGTTAAAAGCTTTGTCTGCAGCCCAAGGACCCTCTGGGATGGCTGGTAGAAGCTAGCTGGCAGGTGGTGCTTCCTGTGGGTATCTTTATGGCTTTTCTTGGATTACACAAAATGGTAGTTTCAATAGGCATGTCATACGGAAAGGCTTCTTACAAGCAAACAATGATTAGAATCTGCTCGAGGGACTCAATGTGCCATTTAAATTCCATTTGGTCTTTTAAACCCTATGACAGGGTGTCAAACTCGCGATGACACGTCATCATGTGACATGAAGGTGAAGGTTCCCCTCGCACATATGTGCTAGTCGTTCCCGACTCTAGCAGTGGTGCTTATCTCCGTTTCAAAGCTGAAGAGCCAGTGCTGTCCGAAGACGTCTCCGTGGTCATGTGGCCGGCATGAGTAAACGCCAAAGGTACACGGAACCCTGTTACCTTCCCACCAAAGGTGGTCCCTATTTTTCTATTTGCTTTCAAACTGCTATAGGTACTTATCAGAAGCCTGGAATGTACAGGTGGTCCTCGATTTACAACATCTTATTTAGTGACCGTTCAAAGTTACAACATCACTGAAAAAAGTGATTTATGATGATTTTTCACTTACAACTGTGGCAGTATCCCCATGGTCACATGATCAAAAATTCAGATGCTTGGTCACTGGCTCATATTTAAGGTGGTGGCAGTGTCTTGGAGTCACTTGATCATCTTTTGTGACCTGACGAGCAAAGTCAATGGGGAAGCTAGATTCACTTAATATCCGTGTTACTAACTTAACAACAGCAGTGATTCACTTAACTGTGGCAAGAAAGATCGTAAAATGGGGCAAAACTTACATAACAGCTGTTTCATTTAACAACAGAAATATTGGGCTCAATAGTGGTCGTAAATCCAGAACTACTTTTACAGGATAGTCCTCCTGGGTAACTTTTTATTGTTGCTGCTCCCCTAACTAAGTATATCTACCACACCTGCAACTTGAGAAACTATTTCATTAGTGCATACACTTGCTATAGGTACAAAAGCCCTCACATTCAGTTCTCTGCAGTTAAAAAGAATGATTTGCCATTGAATGGAATCAACGTTTGTCCAACAGAGCCTTCTCAAATACAGTAAGTACCAAATGATGGAGAACAAAATGATAACTGGCTGCAATGCAACCTCTCATCATTGGCTGACGTGACAAAAAGCAGTTTTCTCTGTAAGATTGTACTATCCTTAAGACTGGAAGGTGCAATATATTATTTATATCAACTCATTTCTTTTTCAGCTGAAAATGGTTGCAGAAACAAATCTTCAGATATATGTATAAACCCACTCAGTAGAAAACTATCCCAAAAAGCCAGTCGAGAGAAGCAGATTTGGTGCTCTTGCAACAGAATTAAACAGTTGCAATGTATAAGAGGGATCAGGTTGAGGGAATAAACCAAGAAAGTTAAGCTAATCAAAAAATTGAACTCAGAAAAAGGAAAATTATCAGTCCCTTCCCCCCAGTGAAAAATATTTTTAGTTTTTGCTTTGGAAGCCAACACTACAGTTGAGCACATTAAATCCCTTCCTGGGGCAATCCGCCCCCCCCGCCCCCCCCATTCCCAGGTAGGATTGCAATTCTGACTGGCAGGAAATGCAGCCTGGTGCATCTCCTTGACTGCCTCTAGAGTTGCTCCAAATAGCCCCAAGGAGGTTGCACCAATAATGAAGTCAAGCAAAAGCAGTGCTGGTATGCTTGTTATGCTCATGTCTGACACTGAAAAGCCGCAAGTTCTTCCAGCAAGATGGATTTCTTGGAGAGATTCTAGAATAATCCTTGGGGATTAGACCTTGAGGCCCCACCTGCTGCCTCATCTTCCCCGCTTCCTTTGCTGTCCTGTACCTGTCACTGGAAGCTGAACAAGAGCCATCTGTTCCCAGGGGAGCCTTTGGCACAGCTGTCAGACACGCTCAGCTGTCCTGCTATGCAAAGCACAAGCTCCTGATTTAATTCACCCAACAGCTGCCAAGATTGCATTATGCTTCTTAGTTGCAGACCCAGGAAGTACTTCAACTTGATCTCTAGGGAATACTTTACAAGTGGGGCTATGTGAAAATTCAGGAGCGTTCAACCTTCTGTGGCTAAAATGGATTCCTTAAAGCTTTCAGAATGAATTTGAGCTCAGTCCAATCTTCGAAACATTTCAGAACACAGGATGACTATCCAGAAAAATGTCCACACCCTAATTCAGAGTCTTGAAACATCTGATCGAGTTTCCACATTGTGCTAAACTTTAATGTGATTTGATTTAGCATGCAGTGTGAAAAACAGTCATTTTGGTTTCTAAATCATGCTTTAGCACTTAGTATGATGTGCAAATCCTGTCAACTACTGTTTTTACATTAAACTGCCTTACATAAACAACGGATAGAGTGGAATGTCTTGACTCAGCCATTGTCCCAAAGAATATTGGGGAATGGCAGGATTTATATTCCTTGCAGACAGCTGGTCATTTGCATCCTTTTAGAGGATTGTTGAAGCACTTGGAGGTTGATCTGTGTCCTCAGGGTCACCTGAGTAGTGCTCCTGGTTCCTGTAGTCCTGCAGTCTACAGGTTTTTTCCTCTGGAAATCCATTCCTACTTCCACACCTGTCAGAGCTGAAGGAAGTTTATTGGATGAGAAGCAAAATGTCTTCAAAGAAAAAACAAAGTCCAGTTGCCTCCTGAAAAAGCATCTTTGGGACAACCATGACCTGGATGACTGAGAATCTCTACAGAACTCAGCTATTGTTTGGGCAATTAATCTTTTTAGATCAGACTTGTCATTAATTTGAATCTGCAGCACCTCAGTTTTTCAGCGCTGGGAAGGTCAGAAAACTGAATTATTTGCATACTTGCAGGACATCATTGTTCAAATAACTCCGTCAGGGATAATATGCTCCACGTCCAGTGGCAGCTATCAGGATGGCAAATTAGAATAGGGAAATAGGAGACAAATAGGGGCTTGTGGGACAGCATATCTGGGTTGAAGAAATTGAACCTAATTTTTCCACTTGAAGGCAGGAAAAGCAATGGATGGAAACTAATCAAGGAGAGAACCAATTTAGAATTAAGGAGAGAATATCAAAGAGAGCTCCACCTACTGGTAGAACTAAGGAGAAATTTCTTGACAAAACAATCAGTGGAACGGCTTTCCTCCAGAAGTTGTAGGTGCTCCATTACTGGAGGTTTTCAAGGATAGCCATTTATCTGAAATGGTATAGGGTCTCAGGCTTGAGCTGGGGGTTGGACTAGAAGATTTCCGAGGTGCCTTCTAACTCTGTTATTGTTTTTTGTTCCTGTGCCTGCTGCCCAATAAGGTAGCACGAATAACTATTCTACATTAATCATTTTGTATTAAGTAACTGTCTAAAACACAGAAGACTTCAGAAGAAAGTTGCAGCATTAACAAGCTTATAATGGACTGTGGTTTGGTCTGTTACATTGTCCTCTCCAGGAATGTAATTGCTATGCATGGTTATCTTCAGATGTGCTGAATTATGACTCCCATTGGCCATACATGGAGATTCTGAGAATTGTTGCCCAGCACATCCAGAGTACAATTGTGAGGATGGAGGTGGAGTTGAGGAAGGCTGGTTTATGCTTTTATTTCTTCCAGTGAAATGCCATTGGAGGGAATAGCAGGGAGAGGGAGATGTTTAGCCATTCATTAACCTATGTTATTCCTTGTCAGAAGTTTCTGGATGCTGAGAATATGAGAAAATAATTCTTTATCGTGGGATTTGTTTACATGCCCTATGGGGCATGCATGTGTCTGTATTCTTGTGTTGTCTATGTCAACTAGGTAATAAATGAGCCCAATCATCTCTTTCCAGAGAAAGAATGAATAAGAATTAAAATCAATGGTAATAAGTAATGGATTATTTTGTGGGTAAAAATGGACCAGTTTCTTTCAGTTTCACTCCTCTTCCCCCCAAGCCTTCATTTCATTATGGCTGGCTTCAAAATCAAAGGTCAGTTGTGTTCTTCACCTGGAATAACCTTGAGTTAAGCTGAGTTTCAGTTATTTATTGTAATCTAGTGAGAACAGAATGACAACATGTAGCAACATTTATGCAGATGTTTTTCTGACAATTCAGAGCTGCAAAAGAAAAAGATGTATAGCGCTCTTAGGATAAAATTAAGCTCAGACTTGCTGGTGCTAGTGATAAAAGCAAGCACTCCTTCATTAGAAACCTTTATGTTTGTTGGGACGTCCCCTGCGGTGATAGTGGTGGTCAGTAGAACAAATACCTGGCAATACAGAAAGAAGAAAAAAAAAAAGCCTTATTCTGAATAATGTATTATAATCTAGTACATTATTAATTAGTGAAAACTGGTAGGCCTACATAATTGAAGGCATGCGATTCCTAGCAATGGTCTTACCTGGATATTGAACTCATGAGCTATGAGTTATCAGTCAAAATGACCTCTTCTTGCTTTCACTCACGGTCTGTACGTCAAGAAAGGAAAAGTGCCGAATAGGGTATTTCTCTGGGCATGCGTTGGTAATTAGGGACATCTGAAGGGCCTAGAGAGGACATTCAGAATCTGCAAGACTACCTAATTCTCCTCCAGTCACTCCTGATCAACCATCTGGAAACTGGTAGGGGAATACTTATCATCCTCAGCATTAATTTTCTACATACCACAAGAGGCAGACTCAATCGAGATACCAATTTATTTCCAAGACTTGCTACTTTTTTTTTTTAAGGTGGCATCTTGGCTGTTGCCCTTTCCCAGTAATCTGCAGAAGTTCAGCATACAGGACCCAACATCATTAACATCCCCAGGCAAAATAATCTGGAAGAATGATGTGCTTGCTGACAATTATACGTTCTACTGTGCTTCCTATATTTTGTTAATACTATGTTATGTAGATTCTGTTCCATCTTACATTTCCTTTTGGAAATTTAATTTTAAGCAATCAAGTTGTCTTTAGCCCTTAATGATTTCTCCACTTTGTTCTAAAAGCCTTCCTTGCGCTTTGCAGTAGGGTGCTTTGTAAGCAAGAACTGCCTTTAGCTCATTTTTATTCCTTCCCAAAATTTGTCTTGGGGTGCAAAACAAGTGCCTTTCGAACTTCCCTTGTTGGTTAATGCTCCAGGAAAAATTTCATACTGTGTTCCCTTCCCAAAGTTTTGATTTTTGAAATTTCCTCCATTTCCTGGAGACCATCTGGGGTTCAGGAATTCCGGGCATTTGCCTGCTTTCCCTATCTCCCTTTTACTTAGAAATAGCCTTGAGTACATTTAACCCTGGAATTTCTCCTAGGTTACTAGGAACCTGCAATCTACCAGACCGGTTGTAATTCCATCTATCCCAACTACTACCTGACTAAAGTCAGTCAAATATATTTCGCAACCTAATCTGCTGAACTGGAGATGGGGGATCGAACCTTGATACAGTGCTGTACCAGTGACCCTTCTCCTGTTATGCAGGGCACCTTCAGACTCTTCTATGTCCGACACCAGGGTGACTTCAAAATGTCAGACAGCTGAACTCTGGGACTCAGTCTTGGAATGAGATTCAACTTGCTAAAAGCTCTTCTCACCAAGGTGGTTTTTTGGAATTGTTGTTTTAACCATTTAGTTGTGTCCAACTCTTGGTGACTTTATAGGCAAGTGTTCTCCATGCTAGCTTGTGAAGCACAGCATCTTTCAGTTGTTGGATGTTCATCTTTGTATCAGATTTGATGTTATCAAGCCAGCAAGTTCTTTGCTTGACCCTTCTTCTTTTTCCACCAACCATTCCTAGCATCATTGCCTTCTTCCAATGAATTTGCACACATGACATGGCCAAAATAACTCACACATATCCTTATGATTTTAGCTTAGAGTGATGTGTCTGTTTTATACAATTTAACACCTCTGTTAATTACTCTGGCCATCCATGGTATGCACAATAATTTACACCAGCACCATAGTTCAGAGGAGTCAATTCTTCTTCATTCAGACATTCTTAACTTTTTGGACTACTTCAAAGGAAACCTGTAAGGTAGATTTCCTAGACTTGAAAGAGACAGGAACATGCATGCCCACAGGAAGGCTAGATCCAGATTCAGTCATACCTGAAATTAATAGGAGTTTAGTTAGACATGACCAAAATTTCAGTAATTTTAATAGCTGTCTCTAGCTACATCAAGATCCAGCTCACTGGGCCCTGCCATTATAATCACTGGCCCAATGCCATCAACTTGCTTCCTGAGGTTGCAAAAATCTCTAATTTGCAGCAGAAATTATTCTGGGGCCATCAAAACTTGGGCTATATATCACAGATTGATGGAGTTTCTTTAGTACAAAGGAGGCACTGCTACTTGTGAGATGTTCCCTTCTCTCTTTTTTTGAGAAGTATTGTAACTTTCCGTTCTCCTAGGCATACCAGGACAACTAACACAGCAGTAATTTATTTCCTTGATGTGCACAAAGTCCTACAATTAAACATAGAGGCTTAACCTGGACATGCATGACAATCCCAGCACCCTGTCTGGCTCAGAGATGTTCGCACCATTGGTAGGATAGTAGCTGATTTGGGGTGCTTCATATGGGGTGATTCTAATGATGGTATTAGGAGCATGTGGCCGAGTTTCCTTTCCTTCAAACACTCAGATTTGAATGAAAATGGACCAAGGTTTACTGAATTCTAGCACAAAGACCTAGAAGAGGTAAGATTTATGTTTTTACTGGAGGACATATAAATACCAGGTTCTCTTAAAAGAGGAGAAACGTCAATCTGTTTTAGAGAGGGAGAGATTTTTTAAATAGCTATTTATAGGTTTTTCTTTTCGGCACCCTTTCAGCCTCCACCTTTTAGCATGGCCCTAAAATGTTTCTCCCCTTCCAAAGTGGTATTCTCTGCAGTACTTGTATTCAATTGCCCTCAAGGTTATTTTGCCTCTTGTGACAACAGACCATCTCCAACCACACAAATAATTATAGTTATGCCCTAATTAAAATTGTGCTCCTGGTTATTCCTTGACATGGCTGCCAATTTCAATATTTTTTGGCCTTGGGTTGGTCATCAACTTGTGTCTTCAAGAAATGAGTTTCTACATTCTACAGAAGCAGAGGAGAAAATAACTCACCAAGTGACCTGCCCTTTCCTCCCACTTTTACCCCTTGAGGCCGCAAGCAATCAAACTTGAAAGTCAATGGCCCACAAAAGGTATTTGGTGAGCCCCACCAAAAAGAATCCTTTAATATATAGCAATAATGAAACAAGATACACGAAAGTCAACAGAGCTGTCAGCACTTGGGACACAGGGACTCCCTGGCTCAGGAAACCTGGCCACAAACAATGGCTTGATTTTTCACAGACAGACCACATTTGGGATCTCTTCACCACCATCCCAAATGCAACCCTTAACCAAAGTAGGTTCCTGGGCAGGATGGAAGGGAACGGAAGGCCAACACACACACATATTTTAAAACTTAGGTTTTTGGATTTGTCTCATTGCGACTTAACTTTCGGGGGCTCAGGATTAAAATGGGTAAAATCTCGGCATCCAGACTCTCCTTTGGCAGAATCCCCACAGGTCAAATGCAAGGGACAGGCCCTGGCTATGGCTAAAAGCATCACATCTCTGGATGGTGCACTCTGTCCCATGTGGAATGGTCTATATTACAGTCTAGGAAGCTTATGCACATTTATACAGAGGACCTTTGCCCCACGCCTGGGGAGCCCCATGAGACTATACAACAAGTGTGATGAGTTTTTAAAACATTTTCTTTCCCATCCCTCCCATTTCGTTTCCTCCCACCCTTGCTTTTTTTTTTTTTTTTTTTTTTTTTTTTTTTTCTACATTATGTACATTGTTGTGCTTGTAGATGGATCCATCAACTGACGGAGGTAATCTGTCAGGCTGTATCTGAAGAACCTTTGGTTCTTTCAGTCAGAGATGCGTTTCTTCACTTTTGCAGTCAGCAGGGGAAGATTTCCTAGCTGGAATTTGCCTGGGGTCCTTCTGCAGGGTACAGCCTCTTTTTGAAGAGAGAGACAGTGGGCAGGTTGCTCATCTGAATTTGAGGATGCTCTCACCATAATGCTGGAAACCGCTAGGTGAACTGCTGCTCTGTCCATATCAAGGCTGTAGAGGGTGGACAAGAAGAACTACTGTAGCTCATGGGGAGGAGGGCTCCAGATCCAGGGACAGATAAAAGCAGGCAAGCTTTATCTGCTTTCTGTAGATGTAGTGGAGCTCTGATATTCCTTGGAATTTGTTCTTTAAAATCCATTAGGAAAATGGATGAAGTGTGAGGTGTCAGTTTCATTTCATAGGTTCAGATGATCAGGCAGACATACTCATCTCAAGATATCAAGAATGATGCACATGATGGGAGTTGTCAGTTCTTCTAACATTTCCAAAGGCTAACCAAATGCATTTCTTCCTGCCCTGGCTGCAGGTTTGTGGGAGATATCTTGGGATTATTATTAGAAACAAGGCAATGCCCTGTACCTGATCTGGCCTGAGCAACATGATAAAAAGCCGTTTTTCAGGAACAGTCCCCATCAACAGCAGCAGCACCACCATCTCTCCTGGGCTGGAAGGATTTCTCAAAACAAGTAAACCAAGCATTCCTAGTCTCCCATGGGAGCCCTTTTATAGACAAGAGGCAATCCTAAGAAAAGGAGATGGCTGTCTGGCCAAAGTCCCTTGCACTGATTCACTAGTAGGGCTTCATGGTTACCACTGGGATACAAGGCAAGGTCTCTCTCTTGATGACAGCCTAGGAAGCTACGGGATGAATTGTAAGTGAAAGTGTGTGTGTGTGTGTGAGAGAGAGAGGGGGGGAGGGAGGGAGGGAGGGAGAGAGAGAGAGAGAGAGAGAGAAAGAAGACATGGTAGGTGGAACATGATGCCTGGGTTTCATCTGGGGTGGCTTCAATTGTTCTCAAACAAAGAGAGCAGATCATCGTTGCTATTATTGGGAAGGTCGGGGGGCCCCAGGTAGGACAGCAGCTCATCTGGATTTGTCAGCTCAGGAAGAAGCTGAGGACAAGACAGAGATAATCAGGGTTATTTGCTAGCTCTGTAGTGGTAGAACATCGCAAACGTGACCAGAGTGCAGGTTCAAAAACATACACAATCAAGAAAAATGATATGGGGGAAAAGGACATGAAAATCTCAGGCAAGAGGCCTGGAGAAAGATGGAGACCATCCCCACAGTAGAAATCTGAGGGTGTCGCCTTCTAACTGCCAGGTTGAGATCTTTTGCCTTTGCACTTGACCTTTTCTTAATGGAGACCCGTAATTCTGGGGCTGAGCCCTCAGCGCCAGTATAATCAATATTTAAATCAAACTGTTGTTTTTCTGCCTTGACTGTCTGATACGGGTCTGTCTGCCATCAATAAGTGACAAAGGCAATACACTGAACTAGCCAACATATGGGATGGGACCCCCCCTGTGCTGGAGTTATGCTGAATAATAAGGCAGGCAATAACTACTCTGTATTAGCCTTGTAGCTTCCTGACTAATGTACCATTGCCATGCACTAAAATAATAATAATGTGCTGGAATGCCCTCTTCCAAAGATTACACCCAGTTCTCCCTTTTCTGACAAAAGGTGAAGATGATGGCCTTCCATTGGACTATTAATAGTATTACCACACCACTATGTTTCTCATCTGGCGACATTGCTGCAAGCCTTGTGCGAATTACTATCTTTTCAATTCTCGTATGTCTGATTTTATTATTTGACTTGCATTTTAAATTGTATGCAATTATATTAAAAGCCTATGGCAGAAAGAAAGGCATAAATATTGACTGTCTTTTTAAATAAGCCATGGCCTAACCATGGCAATGTTGCCCTGAGTCTGCAGGGAAAGGTCTTTCCACTATCTGCAAGATAGGGTGGGCAAACAAGCCTGTTAGGATATGGTGTATGCCTAACAGGTTGCCCAGGCAATATATGGACAATATATGTGTTCTATGACTTTAACATGAATATGTATTATATGACTTTAAGAAGTACTGCTGAGTCATTGTAATGCTGAGTCATTGTATCCTGATTGGATAAGCTCTGTTGTAACTGTATTTAAGAAGGGAGCTGAAATGTAATCATTGATGATATGCTACCATCGTGTGTGGAGATGCTATCATCGTGGGTGGATATGCTACCATCGTGATCTGTTACCAGCGTGAATATGCTGCTGTTTATTATTTACTGCTGTTTTGTATGGTAAGAAGACTCTTGTATCACTGGACTGATTTGACTGGCAAAGACTTGGATTGTTTAAAAACTAGCATAGTTAAAAAACTATGAGATTGTTTTTTACTATAAAGTAAAAACTTTGATAAACCAGTTTGTATGTATTTTATTCATCGCTCTCAGCACCGTTTCCCTGTGCTCTACGCTCTGCTGGTTGGTTAACACAACAATATCCTTAACAAAGCCCTTTCTGCTTCCCAAACTACCTCTTAAAATGAGTAGAACTGAATTTTTCAAAGCTTTATTTTGTACGTGGGTATGGCTCTAGGTGCTAAACAGATCTTGTAGAGACTTAAGTGTGTATCTCATTCCTTAGTCTGCTCCCCCATGTGGGTCCCAAAGGTGCTTTTTCAAGAGGCAAATGGACTTTCTTGTTTTTCTTTGAAGACGTTTTGCTTCTCATCCAAGAAGCTTCTTCAGCTCTCACAGAATGGTGGGGAATGGAAAGAGAAAAAGAATGCAAAAGACCAGCTGTCTGCAAGGAATGTAAATCCTTTCATTCAGAGCTGAAGAAGCTTCTTCAAAGAAAAACAAGAAAGTTCCGTTGCCTTTTGAAAAAGTACCTTTGGGACAAACATGACCTGGATAACTGAGAATCTCTGTAGACAATGTCCCCCAGCTGGGCCAACTTTTGTAGAAGCTTCTAAGGTACCTATTTTGACTCCTAGCCTTCCTGACAAGCCACTAGGATTTGCATAACCCCATTCAACAATGAGGGAGCAGGGGAGAATATACTGGGAAGGCAGACACTAGTTTGGGTTCCGTCCCTCCACTTTATGTGCCCCTTGGAGACCTTCTGATGTCCAGCTGTCTTAAGGTACATCACACCAGTTGTGTTCCTACACATGGGCACAGCTGAGGGGAAAGGGAATTTGGGTCTTCAGGCATATCCAGAAAGAAAGAGGGGAAGGTGAGCTTGGGACGCACAGCCCCATGCTACTTACGTCAAGGGAAGGTTCAGGCCCATCCACAGGTCCAGGTGGTGCTCCCATCCCAGGACCAGGATTGAAAGGGAGCTCCCCACCGTGTGCTGGGCCTCCGGTGCCTGACTGTCCTGGTGCCTGGCGTGATGGTGGGGGAGGAACAGGGGGATTCCGATGGTGGAGCTGTGGCTGCTGCTGCTGCTGCTGTTGTGGTGGTGGCTGCTGGCCCGGCTGATTGCTGAGGTTGGGGTTGTTTAGGCCCTGCTGCACAGGATTGTGTGAAGAAGGATCCATCCTGCTTGATGGAGGCATCTGCAATCGCAAAAGAAGACAGCAAAACTGCTGAGAAACAGGAGGGCAGGCAGAGCTGCAATCCAGGGAGAGCTTCACCATCCCACAATTCAGACCCTTTCTCTGGTGTAGGCCACTTCATCCCCCAATATTCTCCCATCTCAACCTGTGCACATTCCCAGGAGACTGCACTCCCATGTATTGCTAAGACATATCTTTTGTTGACTTGGCTGGGTCTGTACACCAGCCTCAATGATCAACAACAGTGGATTTTCTCCGGGCGGCTTCCAGTTACATAAAAGCTAAAACATAAAAAGTTAAAAACAAACATTAAAACCAAGAGGACACAAGAGGAGGGCAGGGGCAGAGTGGGGGGGGAGAGGGGGAATCTCTTATTACTCAACCAACCACCCCATTGGACTGGGCCCCCACTGGGCCCCAGGCCGACTGCCAGACCCAGGTCTTGAGTCCCTTATCAACAGACAGGAGGGTTGGGGCCCAGCACAATGGGGGTGGTTGATTGAGTAATAAGAGATCCCACCACCACCACCACCACTCTGCCCCTGCCGTCCACTTGTGTCCTTGGTTTTAATGTTTGTTTTTAACTTTTTTATGTTTTAGCTTTTATGTTATATAAAAGAGCCTAGAGTTACCCTGTGGTAAGATGAGCGGCAAATAAATACAGAAAATAAATAAATAAATAAAATAAGGCTCTCTCTCATCACACAAGCCAAATACAGGTAGTTCTCAACTTACAACAGTTCGCTTAGTGACCATTTGAAGATACAACGGGACTGAAAAAAGTGATTTAAGACCATTTTTCACACTTATGACCATTGCAGCATCCCCGTAGTTATGTGATTTACATTCAGAAGCTTGGCAACTGGTTCATATTTATGACAGTTGCAGTGTCCTGGGGTCATGTGATCCCCTTTTATGACTTGACAAGCAAAGTCAAAGGGAAAGCCAGATTTACTCAACAACCGTGTTACTAATTTAACAACTGCAGCGATTCACTTAACAACTGTGGCAAGGAAAGTCGTAAAATGTGGCAAAACTCATTTAACAAATTTCTCACTTAGCAACATATTTTGGGCTCAATTGTGATCATAAGTTGAGGACTACCTCTACACATTTTGGTTTGGAGCAAAATAAGCATCCAGCTGTAGACATGTCTCATGTTAGCAACAAGGATGGAGGCGTATCAACCCTCCTGGTCATCCAGGCAGAAAACATGACCAAATGAGCTAATTCTACTTTATTGTAAGACTACAGCAACAGAATCCAGCAAGTCTGAAGGTACCAATTTTCCACCCTTCACTTTAAACTGTTTGATCCACTGGGTGGATCTTTTTTAAGTTTCTTCCCCTAACCATTAATCCACTGGGTGTTCCTTCCTCTCTTACTTGTTTCCTAGTGTTCTGTCCCCCTTCCTCACACAGGCAAACGTAATACCAAGCACGCCTGCCAATATTTTATTAGGTAAACAGATTAGAATTCTTTTTTTTTATTGAAAAAGTTTTTCAAATACAAATTTCCCCCCCTTTTTCCCCCCCTCCTCCCTAACTCCCCCTCCCCCTCCCCTCCCCCTGTGGCTTCTTCATAATAAAACCCAAATTCATAACAGATTATATAATACTTTACCATCCCCTTACTCCATCCCCATATGCTGACCCTTTCTTTCTAATAATATTATCATATCCGCCTTATACTATACATTTCAAAATGACATTCTACTATAACATTATATAATAACTCCTAATTTAGCATAATAATATTATTATATCTCCCAGTTTAGCGATTTCTGCTCATAATCTACCTTTTTCCTACCCCCCATACATATATCTCTTAAATCAAATCTTTTATGTATATTAATATAACATTTCAAAGCAATCTTCCGCTATAAAACTATATAATAAATCCTAATTTAACATTTATTCAATTCATAGTCTCCATTTCCTTCACCCCATCGTTATATCTCTTAACTCAAATCTTTTACATATATTCATATCTAAACATAATATCCCTTTTCTTAAACTAAACAATCAATAAACTAACCTGTCTCCACCCACTTTCCTACAAGACTACCATACTTAATAATTCGTAATATCTTTATTCTTCTGCCCACACCACTAAAAAATATTCCCTTATGTAAATAAAATCCTCTTAAAAAAGACTAAGCTTGTAATCCATATCTTCTGTAATGTCTTTCAGCTGGATTGTAAACTCCATCACCCATGTTAGGGTAACATCACATCCTAATTCCAACAGTATGTTCGGTATCTTCAATTACCATCTGCCCCCATCAATAGCAAATACCTTCATAAAAAAAACAACAACCACCACCCGAGTGACTTTATATTTGTATTCCATATAGTGTCTGTAGAGGTGTCTTTTATCCAAATTATTAATTCCAACCACCGTAATAGGGTGACAGCCAGATCATCTGCATGCCCCAATTCCATAACTCTCTCGCCTTGTAGCTCAGCATAAACGTAGTATATTTATCAAAGAGTCCAAAAAAAAAAAAAAAAAGATAGTTCCAATCATTTCAGTTTAAGGCCCTTTTCACATCCCAAAAGTACAGCACTGCAGAAGTCTGTCACTCTCCTCAGGATAATATAAACCAATACTTCGCCTCAACTATCTTTTCATGTATTCAATCATCTCTTAAATAACTGGCATTACACTGTTGTTTGGTTTAAAAGTTTTTGTTTTTGTGTGACCTGCTTCTTCTTTTCTTGACTTTTTGTGGGTTAGATCTCCATCCTGATTTCCTTTCTATAAATTGTATATCAACTGTTTGGTTTTCATGCTGATCTATAACTTGATCTTGTTGGTTTTGCTTTTGTGGCTTAAATCTCCATTCTGGTTCTATGAGTTTTATATCAACTGATTGATTTCCATGCTGGTCTGTAACTTGATAAGTCATCACTTTAGAATCCAGAGCCGCCTCTCTTGTATTTATAAATAGTCCAGCTGAGACCTCTGAAGGAGAATCCAGAAGCGGCTCATCTACGGGGACCTCTGTAACTTGTTGTTTTTCCATTACTTCCACCTCCTTTTGCTTATCTTGAATTTCTATCTCTTGTTGATTTTGCTTTTGGAGAACCTTGTAGTAAAATTCTTCCACTTTTTCAACAGTATTTAGCTGATATCTTTCTCCTTGATATCTCAATATTATACCAACTGGAACGTCCCACCTGAATGAGATATTTTGTTTCTTAAGCTCAGTCACCAAAAATCCAAATTTCTTTCTATCTTTTAAAATCTTAGGCGGCAACTCTTTATATATCCAGATCTTTCTTCCATACAATTGTAGAGTAGAATTAAAAGATTTTTGCACAATATCATTTCTTATTTCTTTGTCTGTGAAATAAATCACCACATCTCTAGGCAATTGCCTTTGCTTTGCAATCCAAGAATTTACTCTATAAGCCTTGTCAATCTTACAAGATACCTCCTCAGGATGAACCTTTAAAATCCCGGCCAGAACTTGAGCAGATATTTTTCTTAAATCATCTCTATTATTTTCCTGTAACCCTCTCATTCTAACTGCAAATTCTGTGAGCCTGTATTTCATCATTGTAATTTCTTTTTCAATCCCTTGCTTTATATCTTCTGCATTGTAAGTCTCGTGAGCAGCTTCCTTTTTAGACTTTACTTCTAAACTATTGTCTTGAATATTTGTCAAATCATTTTCAATTATTTGTATTTTATTGTCCAAATTATTAATCTTATCATCAACTTCCTCCATTTTGGACTCTAATAACTTGATATTTGTATCCATCTTTATTACAATTTCTGAAAAAGCATTAGTCACTGTTACAATCTTTCGTTGCAAATTATCATACTTTAGTTGTATCATTTCTTTAATTTCTTGCCTAAATTTTTCAAGTTTCTGGTTCACAGTCTTGTGATATCTTGCCATTTCCTCCTGGACAAATTCTTTTAAATTAAAGCCATTCTGCTGAGTCTGTAAGCTCAGAACTTGTTCACATAATTGTAAATGGGGGAAACCCCCCCCCCCACTGCTTGTTTGTCAGGCTTTATTAGTTTTAACGCCATCCTGCCACACTTTAAAGAAAGAAAACTTTTCCCCAAGCAAGATCAAGTACAAATCTCCAAGAGAAAAGAAACTTAAAATAGATATTTTTCTTCCAGATTCTAGCGAGCAGTTTATTCCGCTACTTTGTAGCTTGTTACAGAAGGACTTTCACTTTCGGCTTTCTTCTTCTTCTCAAGCCTCAGCAGTCGCCATTTTAAACTTTTTTTTTCCTTCACTCTGAAACGCTTGTAAAATCATTAAAAATACTTGCGATTTAGGGTCCCAAGTCCAAATCTTGTCCTTTTTAATTAGTCCATCTGTTAATTTCGTTGATTGGTCATGTTCCAGCGCCTAGCTCTGCAAAAAGGCAGAGTTCTCCCGAAGCCCGGAGCAGCGGTGAGCGAAAATAGGGAGCCACAACCTGCTCGTCCCCAAGAGTAAAAAAAAAACTCTGGGGACTTCCAGAGGGCTCTACCTGCCCTCGCCTGCTCTGTCTCACATTTCCTTCAGGAAATGGAGTTTTTCAAGCCGCCTTTCAGATGTAAAGGCGGCTCTTTACAGGCAACGGGGCTGGCGGTCTCAGAGGACCATCTGGTGGCGATGGAAGCCAGACCGGAAGCCTACAGATTAGAATTCTTGGCAGACCAAGGTTTTGGCAGCAAACTCATGCGCTCGTCACCTCCCGGATCGACTACTGCAATGCTCTCTACATGGGGCTACCCTTGAAGACCACCTGGAAGCTTCAGCTGGTGCAGAATGCGGCCGCGCGGGTAGTGATAGGAGTGTCCCGACACTCTCATGTTACACCCCTCCTGCGGGACCTGCACTGGCTACCGGCTGCCCTCCGGGTGAGATTCAAGGTGCTGGTAATTACCTATAAAGCCCTACATGGCTTAGGCCCGGGGTACCTGGCGGACCACCTGTGGCCAGTGACAGCTCCCCATCGCCCAGTGCGCTCTCATAGGGAGGGCCT